GTCTGGTCCAGGTTTAGTTTATATGGTCCAGGTGTAGTTTCTATGGTTCAGGTGTAGTTTCTATGGTTCAGGCAGATTCTCTATGGGAAGGGAAAAAAGGACACACGTTGATAATATAAATAATTACAAACACAAACATGAACACTAGATTAAGTAAAGACAGCAGCAGAGTGAGGAAATGTAGTCAGTTTGTCAACAGCATAACTAAGGGATACCTATGGAAACCCAAGCCAACCATATGGGATTCTTCACAAAGGAAAGTCTAAAGTTAACATAGAATAAAAGTTGGTTCCACAACAGAGGAGCCTGATAACTGAAAGCTCTGCCTCTCATTTTACTTTTTGAAACTCTGGGAACCACAAATAAACCTGGATCGAACCAGCAGCACAAAACACAGGGAAAGCAATAAAAAAAAAAACATTTTTAATCTAAGTTACAGTTTCACTTTCCATCCATCCACCATCTTTTACCCGCTTGTTCCATTTTTGGTCACGGGGGTCGCCGGTGCCCTTGTCCGGCAATCATTGTGCGAGGGGCGGGGTACACCCTGGACGGGTCGCAAGTCCACCACAGGGCCCAGTTTCACTTTAGGTAAAATAAAATAAAAATCTACCATTTAAAGTCTCTCCAAAGATAAAGGGACAATTTTTAAGATGTGTCAGAAGTCAGTGAGGCACCTTGAGAAGAACTTTGGTTCTGGTTTTTTCTCAAAATGTTCGTGCCTCTGAACTGATGTAATCCAGAGCAGTCTTTGGAACTTGGCAGGTGGGTGTTAGGTTGGAACAAAGCGTCTCCTTCTCGTGGTCAGTTCAGTCAAATTGTACAAAGTGTATAAAAACAAGGGTTTGTGGTGATGGTTCCTCCTCCTTAATCGGACAGAAGAACCAGACGTGAGAGAGGAGAACAGGTCCAAGGTGATCCAGCTTTGGAGAGGAAGAGGGAGGATGTGTGTGAAAAGCCATCCGGATGAAAAGATTGAAGAGGAGTGAAAAAGAGGGAAGTCAGAGTGGAGAGAAGAGGCTGATGGAAGGGGAAGCCAAAGAGCTTTAAAACGGTGCAGAGAAAAGCTCTTTTCTGCTTTAAAGAGCTGCCCAGAGTCGAGCATGAATGTGTGACATCACGAGGAGCGTCTGAATGAGCTCCACGAGCTGAAGCTGCAGCTGCCTTCATCTTCACAAAACTCTTCTTCTGCACTTTCACAACGAACGCAGCCATCAGCGCCAGGCTTCTGTCGCTTCCTTCACCCTCGTCTCTCTGATGAGGGAGTTCTTCCTCTGCAAGCACGACCGAGTTACAAAAAGCTGAGAGTCGTGAAGAGAAAACGCTCCGGAGTAGATAAAAGCTGCAGCAGACCTCTTTTTAAAAAGCAGAAGGTCACGCCCCTCACACATTAGCTGCCTGTCCTCCATTTTTTTTCTTCCTTTTGTTAAATCAACAAAAGCCTCGGTGATGTGTTGTAAATTACACCCAGGATAAATAAATATATTCGTCTGTGTTTTCATATTTTAATTTACCTCCGATGCACCATGAACGCCTTACCGAACACGTCCTCCTCCCTCTTGCTGCTCTGTGATTTATTATTGATCTGAGCGTCGGCTGTTTTCAGCGCGGTGCGCCGATGGATTTAAATCCGACCACAGATGATTCACGGCTCTCTGCTTATTGGCAAATAAAAAGAATGCGAGTTGTGTAAAAATATGAATATACAGGTGGGTGCATGCAGAGGCCTGGGAGGAGAGAGCTCGCACACACACTCAGACCAAAACCTCAACTACTAAAACCTGCAAAACAGTAGCTGAAAGGTAAAATGAACCAGTTTCTGTTCATTCAATTAGCTGTTCTGCTAAAAGAAGAAGTTCCACTCATTTACATTTTTAAACAAACAGAAGAATAGCTAAAATCTACAACAAGCAGGAGTAGCTAACAGCTGCAATGAGCAGGAGTAGCTACAATCTGTGATGAGCAGAAGAGTAGCTAGCAGCTGCAATGATTAAGAG